ATAATTTTAAATATTTAATGTACAGGTGAAACGAAATGAAAATTGAAATGTTTCTCCTATTCACAGTTGCTATCATAAAAGGAGTTCGAAGTAAAGTGTGGAGTAGATACTAACACACCTACATACTTAATCTATATACATACTTTTGTATATAACTAGATGTAATATAATTGTTTCATCTAGAATTGACAGTGAAGTATTTTGTAGATTAAGGAAAACGAGATTTATATGGCGAACATATTTTTACGTCGAATAAAGGAGTTATACAAGTAAAGTGATTTTCTTTTTTAAATATTTACTTAAGTGTGTTGGGTATGGTATATACAATATAATATATATGCCGTTAGAAAAAAAAATTAAATTAAATTAACGGAAAAACCTACTTTTGTATATTCAATTTTTAAAAGAAACTGCCTAAAATTAGGAACTACTCAAAAAAACTACAAGACATAGAAAGGATATGAGACACAACGCCTTTTCTGAAACGAATTTGAATTGAGTTGAGTTGAGTTTATGCCACAGGTCTATTGTGGTACCGCTGATGCTCCTGCCGTCACCTTCTCAAATGATCGAACCATTTCGTGTGCCTTATAAAGCCAACGAGATTTCAAATATTCACTAAAGCCAACTCAGCGAGACAGTTGAAGTAGTGTTTCCCAAGAAATTTGTATCGCGCTAATGCCATGAATGTGGCAGAGGTTGTGTTCGATGGTCTCCTCCTCTTCCTCGTCCCGACAGCCGCGGGAGAAATCGTTAGAGTAAAAGCCCATCCTAATCCCGTGAAGCCCCATTAAACAGAGAACCGGTCCAGAAGGATCAGATGGTTAGATTTTTTCGCGTCAAACTTTGGCTGGAGCTGTCTGGTCACATTACAGGGATCTCGTTCAACCATTGTGAGTCAGCTTCCCTTGAGACGGCCAGTTTAAGCATGTACTTAGCCGTGCACATAGGTAAACCAGAATCATGTGAGTGTTTTATCGTAGATAGAAGGGTTTATTCTCTTGCGAGTTCGTCTGCCATGCAATTGCCTGGGATGTCCTTGTGTCCAGGTACCCAGGCCACGGCAGTACTATACTTTTGGCCACTTTTGACGTAGTACCGTTTCATTGAAGAGATCTGATTGCAGCCTTACTATCGGAGTAGATTTTTACTGACTGTCCTGCCGCCGTAGATTTCTGCAATCATTCCGCGGCCTCCATGATTGCGAAGAGTTCTGCCTGGAACACGCTGAAGAGATGGTGTTTTCCTCCTCACATCTGTTTGGGATTCTTATGGAGAAGAGATTATCGAAGCATACACTGGAGGTGGTGTAGTCCAGCTCCTTCGGCACTTCAGTCCGTCACGAAGGCAGGGAGAATGTTGTTGAAAGCCCACTCGATATCGAGGAAAATGTCTGGGCTATATTAACAGACTTAGCCTTGGAGTAAGCATGTTGTTTCCCCTAGATGCTGTGTGGGGGAACGTTCCGTCATATATAGCTGTCCAGAAGCAATTCCAAGATTTAAAAAAAAAAAACTAAGGCAGATTGGTCGAAAATCCTTTGGATTGACATGACTGCTTCTTCCTCCTTTTGGGATACAAATTACTTTGGCCCTTTTCCATACTTGCGGAATGTGTCCTTAGCGTAGGCAGGTTTTGTAAATTTTACTTGAAATTAAAGAAAGATTACATCTAATCCTGCAGATTTATAGGGTTGGAAAGACCTAATCACCCATTCCACCCTTTTATGGAGATTTAAACGATTCCTTTTACGCAACCCCAGAGGGTTCATGTCTGGGCTGGATTGTGGCCATTCCAAAACATTTTCGTCAAAATTGTTTCGTCAACTTTGCGGTGTGATTTGGAACGTTATCCTGTTGAATTTTCCATTTAACAGGCAAATTCTCCTCAGCCCAAGGCAAAATGGCATTTTCTAGTATGACAACGCTATTCTCTTTATTTTAATTTCAATTCATCCAATAGAGTGGACCAACACCATTCCAAGAAAAAACGTTCCCATTAGGAGTAATGCGATTATTTTTGTTTCACAGCTTCAATCGATATACTTTTGCGTCCAAGACCAATGAGAATGGGCAAAGTCAACACGTCCTTTTCTTTGAGTTTTGGTCTCTTCGTTATTTGAACATTGGATTTTACCTATATTTCACGTCGAACGTCCGAGGAACTCTTTGATCTCTTTGAGAGATCACTGCTATACTGTAGTCTACTCCTGCTGAAGGGTTCCGGTGCAATATTTTGCGTGCGACATTTGCAACAGTTTTAAGATTCTGGATATGTTTTAAGGAGCAAATCAAAATTTCCAGGTTCTCATAAAAGGCATCCTCGACCACATCAAGCAACTTACTACGACATCAAATAGCTGGAAAGTGGGTCCGTACGTTCGAGATGCTCGCTTTTGAAACATAGGCCTTAATACGTTTGCAGTGCACGTCATCAAAATTAAAGTCTCTCATTCGAAGCACTGCAGATCATTGGATCTGATTTTAATGTGGCAGGAGAAAACTAAGAATTAAGTCTTTTGTACGGGTTCAAGGCAGTGCTCCTGAAATGAGGGTGGAGGCCGAGTGCTAAACCTTATCCAGTCGGAAAGTAGTTTAGTCGAATGTCAGCCACTAGACAGGTCTTATTACAGCTTTATTTTGCCAGCGTTCTTTGAAGTGATAAACCATATTTTGATGATTTTATTAACTAAGACTAGAACTTCGATCTGGAGTTTTGACTGAAGAGTATTAAGACGGTCTATGTAAAATTAACATCCAGACCTCAATATCTGCATTTGGAGCTTAATAAGTAAAGATTCACACCCCGCTTTACTTCTACTTCTGTAGACTTCTTAGCTATCGAAGCAAGGTATAAAAGTAAGACACCATAGTAGGAGAGGGGTGCCTCTTTTTGTAAGCTCTTCCTATTTTAGCAAAGGTTACCTTCTTCCATAAGTTGTAAGCTCCAGTGAGCTCCATGGAGATGATTGACCCGTAGAGGTAGAGCCTTGAAAAGGTTTTATAATATTAATAATTTTTCTGCAATGTGTGGCACATTCGCCATTCTGGATGTAGCTCGAGATAGTAGATCACTTGGAGAATAATTTTCTCAGTCTGTTATCTTCTGAGTTGGCAGCCATTTTAATACCAAAGATATTTCAAGATAACCTTTTTCTGGTAGTTTTCTTAACAGTTTTTAGGCGAACTTTATACACAGAACTCCAAGGATTGGTACTATGGCAACTTTAAAAAGTTTTCTGCTACATTTCCCATACCCTAATATTTCTTTGTTTCACAATATAAATTTTCTTGCATCCTTTTTGAATAGGAATAGGACCATTACACAGTGTGGTAAAATGAATTTTTATATTTTTGACGATAAATTCAGCCTGCTTAGAGGAATAAACAGCGCTTTTGGAAACTAAATTTATATTTAATTAACATTCCACAATTTAACAGTCAACGTTCCTATAGCAGAAATGTAAAATAAAATTTCGGAAAAACAAATCTCTGATAAGTTAACAGAGAATGTCCGTAATGGAATGTTAACCTAGGCTATGAACATTTTTGAATGTATTTGTTCTGTAGGTCTAGATTAATATTTATTTTATTTTACAATTTTACACATTTTTTTATATATAAATATTTTCATTATATTGAAATAATAATAATAATAATTACCCATATGAATAATATATCTGTTAATAAAGCGCTGTTAATGTAATTAACATGAGCATTATCTGGTTAACACGAGTAGCTAACATTGCGTTCTCTGTTGGTCGCCATTCAGTTACCAGTAACAGATGCTTGCCATTAACAGCACTATGCAGATAACTGCTATGCGGTTAGTAATTCTCTTATACTTGTGCTTATTTAAAATGCGATGAAACTGCCGGTTTCGTTAAGTTTATCTGTGAATGCTTCACAGTCTGTGCGCTCTCTTCCACTTTATTATTCTCTATTTACATTGTGCTCATACCAAGCGCTCACTAATACCATGCAACAGAGTAAATTTGTTTGTTTCCATTAGCCCTACGTAACCACCCACAACAGAACATTAGTGTTTCAACTGCCACCGAGAGAGAGAGAGAGAGAGAGAGAGAGAAATCTAAATGGTTTGTACTTCAATTTCACTTTTTAACGGTGAATGCTACCATAAAATTTACAATTTCTCTTGCACGAATAGTTAGCGCTCAATGCAACGGCCGAATGTGTTGCTTTCCGGAGAGTAATTTTCACCTCTGCGGTTGGGCAAAGGCCGAGTTCTGTTTTACGAGATTAAAGGTTGTTACAGTTGAAATAAATGAAACAACAACAAAAACTTTATTAGTTAATACAACAACGTTTGCGCTCTTATTGCCACTTTATATGTATGTTTGTTGCTATTGCTTCCAAGCAACAATAAAGAGCAACAGTAACGACAGGTACAAATTTCCACCTGCTATTTACATATGTACATAAACTCGCTCCTTAAAACCCAAATTCGCTCTCACTCAGTTACAACATACACGAACACACTCACACACACATACAACATCGTTACTTTTATAACCTGTGCTTTTGGTAAAAGTAAATTGCAAACACAAATATTTGCGCTCGTAATTTCGTTGTTTCGTTAAATACGCTCAGCTCAGTTCAACCTCAGCTGTTGTGTGTTTGCTATTTTATGCCATAAATGTCTCACTGTCACTGCTCCACCCCCTCAATTGCCGTTTTTTTTTTGTTTAGCGTATACACAAACGTACCACTGTTTTACAAGGAGTTCCCGTAAGAGCAGGAGTACAATGTGCCATTTTTTGGCGCTCGCCATTGCCAAATGTTCGTATCGTATTTGTTCGTTGCTCGTTTTAACGGTAGATATCTCGTTGTCTCCTTGTCGTTGTTTCGATTACATGTGAGCGCATATCGTTTTTACAGTTATGCTGCCGTGTGCTGTGTGGCATTTAAGCAAATGTTGTTGTTGCTCCAAGGAAACGGAAATTGCACGCCAAAAAAGCCAGTCGAAGCGAAACTCTTGACAAAGTTGAACGCGTTTTATATATTTTAGTAGCGTCGGAGTGCGCGTTTTGTCGTTCGTCGGTTGCGGGATATTATTGGCGTTTGTTTTTTTTTACTTTTGGTTCTTATCGGGTGTAGAAAGAGGAAAAAAGTCGAAAAATTCGTTGCCAGTCGTACGCTCGTTTGCCGCGTTTATATCTACCGGTCGTGTGGCGTGGCGGCATACATAATTCGCGTTTGTGCATATATGCATGTGTGCGTGTGTGTATGTATTCGTTTGTGCAAGCGTTCAACGTACGTCTAGACGCTACCCAAGCTAATGGAAATTTTCGGCTGCTGTTAAGAGGATATATTGCAAGAAATTTGCATAAAAATTGTGGTGTTAAGAATTATTTGTAATTGCTCAAGTGCTCACCGCACTTTAATTGCTGAAAACATAAAGCAAACAATTCCTGCAGAGGTGTTACACTTTAAATTGGGGAAATGATAGTGGAGAGCATACAATAAAAATATATATGCACATACATATGTATATGCATGTATTTATAGTTGTTGGGTTAATTGATAAAATTTGTTTTCATTATACTGTGATTTAACTGTAAATGCACACTTGTCTCTTAAGAAAATCAATAATTGCGAAAAGTCTTGTTGGCAATATTAAGCCAAAAAGCAAACAGCGTCAGCCGGCAGTGAAAGTGACTCATAGTAAGGTGAGTTTTGGGTACAAATAATGCACGGGTATGATTTATGAAATGATTCTCGGCCGCGGTAGTCGAGTGGCATTGGGTACTGCAATTTGGAAGGCTCGGGATGAAAACCTGAATAAAAAATGAGCTACCTTTTCTAGTTGTAGTCGCCCCACGGCAGAGAATGTCAACGCCCCCGAGTGTATTTGTGATCTGAAAAAAAGCTCTTCATAAAAAAAAGCAATCAGCTGCTCGGAGGTTTCTTAGTATAAGCTGTAGGTCCTTGATTTATGAAATAAAATACGTATAGTATTTGCTGCATTATAAGCAAACATAAATTATTTAAAGTGTTCGAATAGGTTTTTGGCATTTTCAGAACTTCGGAAGATAATTCCAAAAACAACTTGAAAACTGTGTTGTACTCGGATATGCAGAAATCTTTCTACATTTCATGAACATATTAAAATTTTTGTATAGCATTTTAGAAATCGAACGTTAAAACCTGAGATTTCTGAAATAGCAGCTTTAAATTATATCGTTCAAACTTTTGTTGTTAATATTTTGCTGCCCCAAAAACATAAATAATCTTATAGATAATAACCTGAAAAAGTAACTTTAGTTCTCGTATACGAACAAACTGGTAATGAGGGAGTTTATGATGAGTTTTTTTGAGTTTATTTGTGTATATTACCAAATATCACGCTCCTAGATACTTTTTTCATAGATTTTCGATCCAATACTTCAGACAGATGGATAGACAAACAAACGGTCATGACTGAAACCAGCTGAGCTTTACCGCGTGATACACAGATAATTTTAAATAATCAAAAGTATATTATTATTATTATTTTTTAATTTAATATAACTAAACATAACTGCCATCCGCAGTAGCTGAGGGGTTAGCATTGCGTACTGCCAATCTGAAGGCCAGGGTTCAAGTAGTGGTGCGACAAATATTACAGAAAATTAACTGTTCAAATTGCGGTCGCCCGTGGCAGGGAATTTCAAACCATGCGAGTGCTTAGTATAAACTGTAGATGCCTCCATTTGTTGGAAAAACAGTAAAACGCTAAACAACAAAAACAGTAAGTCCATCCATTTTGTTGGATCAGGACACCAATTTTATTTACATATATATGCGACTGGCCAAACTACTGATTGTATAAAAATCATGGTTTGTGCAAGTCACAGGCGGTTGGCTTAAGTGTTCAAACTATAAAGTAAAAAATGTATATGAGGAGAGTTTCACCGGAGTTTTTCGAGAGTAAAACCGAAGCCATGAAAACAGCATCGAACCTATGTTCAGTAATTGGTATATTTGGCTTATTTGTTGAGTGAAATGAACTTGATACTGAAATTATTTTTCTTTTTAAGAATAAAAACGCTTTTGCTGTTCAAATTTTGTTTTAGAAGAATGTTAAAATGTATATAGTTGAGTTGATTTAGACATGATCGTCTGTCCGTCTGTTTTCATAAACTAGTCCCAACTAATGTTAACAGATGTGCTTTTACCTTTAAACGATCATTTTTCAGAACCGGCCAGATCGGACCACTAAAACATATAACCGACCTCTATGTCAGATTTGAAATCCTTTGTCGTAAATCTCTCAAAAAAGCATCCAAAAAATTATTTTGGTGTTGACATTTGACACTTTGGAGCTGAAAATTGTCGAAATCGGACGATTTTCTTATTTGTTCAGATATGAAGTTTTAAGTCAAAAATCGGGCAAAAAACATCTAAGAGCATGAAATTTGATATTCCGCACCCAAAAGTTCTGATGAATATTGAACTTGAAAAATATGGAAAGCAAATTTTTCATTGAATGTGATAACTTCATGAAATGAATAAAGACTTCTGCATGGCCAAACGCATTGCTCTGGTTTTGAATATTATTTTTGAAAAGATGAAATTTTTTTTTATATTCTATTTCACTTTAAGAAATAAAAAATATAAATTTTTTATACAATACCGATAATAATTAGAAATATGATTATTAACCAACTTTCAGTGAAGTCATAGAAAAGCAGACAAGGAAATGTGATCAGATATTGAGCTTAGAAATATATCAAAATAAATACTCTTTAGCTCATATTTTTTTATTTTTATTTATTTACCAGAATTTTGAGCACAAGGATTTTAAAGCATACTTTGAAACGATCAGAAATTTAGAAGTGGAATATACCTTTTAGATACTTAGATCATGTCAACGTACTTTTACTAGATCTAGTTCTCGTTTGCTTTAACCTACTTTTTAGGGGATATGTAAATTTAATTGCATGTATGCAAGTCTTAAAACTTTTTCGCAATATATCTAGATCATAACTTTCTTTTCCTATTTGCGTGGAATGCTTGCAAACATAATTTATTGATACATGCATTTATTAAACATGCCGACAACTGTAAACTGTCACATATGTGCACTTACGCATACTATTATCTGAGACATTATTATATTAACCCCTTCCAACTTTTCATATTACACACATTTTCACTACTCAACTTTTACTACTTCGCTTATGATGCCATTACCACTCGTACATCTACTCCTTCAAGCTAATAAAAGGATGTACTTGTATACCTGCGCATGTAATTTTCACTTTAAATTCCTTTACTTTTTACCTATGTATATATATATTTTCAAAGTATATTCCTCCAGCAGCCGTCTGCCCAGAAAAGAAAAACCATTAATTTTCCGTAGCAGCCATATTATTTCCGCCACTCGGTGAAATGCCAAATGCAACATTTTATTTCCGGTTTCTGTTTTAGTTTCTTGGCAGCAGTTGCTGCTGCTGCTTATGCTGCAAGTCTCGAAGTGAGACATTGCCAATATTATTTTTGTGTAGAAGACGTGTTATTGTCAACATTTATTTTATGTTTTTGCTGCAAGTGCATCTCGTTTGCTTGCCAATACAATTTCTAGCTTTTCATTATAACCTTCTCTTAAAGCTAAAACCCTGTGCCAATTACTTGCATTTTTGCACCTTACCACATGCTGCTTGATAGTTTTTGTTTTCCGCCAAAGTCACACTCTTTAAATTCCCTTTCAATATTTGCCCTTGATTTTTAACCTTCAACTCCCGTTTATATATTTCAACCCTCTTTCTTTATGTAAACTTAAATTTATCGCTCGTTTGCTGCGTTAACTTTCAATAACTACGTAGTAGTACGTATGTATGTATGTTGTAAATATTGTAAGCCCTAATACGTTTTCGCTTCACTTTTTACCTCCTTTTTTGTGTATTTTCTTTTTTGTTAACGCAATGGCTCATGCTTTTGCTTTATTTCCGTTCTTTTTTTTACGTCTGGCCAACCCTCCTGTTGCTGTCGTTCATTATTCACATTTTCTTCGCTTTTCATTAAGGCTTTGTTTTGATTTTCATAACAGCGAATTCCGTTGGACCTTTCACATTTCGTTTTATTTCTAATGTTCTGATTTTATATAGAAATGGCATTTCTGCTTTCGATTTTAAATGTAGATATTGTATTTCGAAACAAAATGGAAATTCCCCTTCACAAAATTTATTTCTTAAAATGTTTTGAATTCTCATAGTAAACTCTGTGGGGTCATATATCTTCAGATATTAGTTAGAACTAGTGGATTGTTGAAAAGAATTGTCTCATTATCCCTGAATATCCCCTTAAAATTTCAAACCGAACAGGGTAAGAGTAGAGGACTTTTTTTATTATTGTTTCTATAAACCTTAAGTAAAGCCACGCCAAAAGATTTTATATTTATTATTGCAGCCTTGATAGCCAGAGTTCGAGTTCTGTTTTGACCAACATCCAAAAATTAATTTCGTCTCTCGGCAGGAAATTTCAATTCAGGAAGTTTGTATTTATGACATGAAATAAAAGTTCCTCATAAAAATTATTCAGACTTTCCAAGGCTGCTTGGTATAAACTGTAGATTCCAACCTTTGTTTGAAAAACCTAACTACACATATTAAAAATTGGAAGGGGAACTGGGCCGAAAATCGGCTCAGCGGTAACAAAGATTCAATAGCATACATATGCAGAAGTTAAGGAGGCCATTTAAAAGTTATGGGAAAAAAATCTTTGAATAAATGCTAAATACAACTTCGTTGTGAACCATTGACTTAATTTTGGTTGGAGGACCGAAAAATTGACAGACTCCAACCAGAAAAATCCAGGTCCACTCGATACAAAAACTTTAAACTCTTTCAAAACGAAATATCTAAGCCCCTAAGATCATCTGATGGTTTGCTAACAACGAGATCGCTCCCGTAGATACCTGTTAGTAGCGAAACTGCTTTATTGACTCACCGATTTCGCGACTATTGCCAAATCAAAAATATATCGAGATTCAGACGTATATACGTAGCTTTTAATCAAATAGGAGAACCGAGTTCTGGACTTGGTTTAGGTATCCCTAGAACAACACTAGCTCGACGCAAGTTTTGATGACTTCTAAAATATTAAAAATCAGCTTAATCCAGCTTTGTATTGATAGATAATTAAAAAGGGAGAAGATTGTAGCACAACTAAGTTTGGTTAAGGATAAAATGCAGTCTCCATTTAGTTCGCCTATATTGAAGGTAGACTCAGAGAAGTCTAAACAAATATTGCCCTTAGTTAGGTGGCCAACCGAAAATGGAAATTTTCTCATCCAAGTTGGTAAAGAAAGCTTACACGCCAGTGTGAAGAGAGTAGTATAGCTTAGTGCTTAGCTTAGCGGTATACAAGATTATATAGAAGATGGCTAGACTATTGTGGGGCTTAAAAATGTGAGACTTCAAATACGGACCAATTTATTCCTTTAAAGAGCAAGAATAAGAGATAATCGTCTCCTTCTTGGTACATCCACCCAGTGAGTCAGCGCCAATTAGAGATAAGAAGTGAGGCAATATTAAATTATTTCCAAATAAATATCTGCAACCAGCCTTATTGAAAATCTTTCTCTCGAAGACTTCCAAACCCAACTCATCAGCGTCTATTGCCTTCAATGGCTCTGAAACATAAATCGAAAAACAACGGGCTGCTTGTAGAGTTTGGTTTTTACGTAAAGACAGACTTCAGAAACTGGAATAAATACGAAACGTAAATCATACCACTACAAATCTTCGTAAATCTTCGCAAACTTCGATGCGTTTGAGTTAATTTTCGACAACTTTTTGGTACGGTATCCCAAACATAACTTCCCGAATTTAGTTTTCAAGTGATCAATAGTTAAAGCTTTAACCGCCTAATTATGTTCTATAATCTAGCCCGACGAAATCACAAGATCTCTGCGATCAATTGAAACGCCAAACGCATATTCATTCGGGTTGAGCCGCATGTGACACCATTTTGTTGAAATCTCATCTTTTCCAAGTTGTGTTTTAACGATTCTAACTCGTTGTGTTGTTGTTAAATGAACCATCTTCATAAATACCTCACTTTTGACTAAAAGAAAACATGTTTGGTTTGTCAGATGTCAAAATACTGCCCTATACAAGTTTCTGCATCAACTCAACTAACGATGAGGATCCCAAAGGAAAAAAAATAGATTTAATACGATTAAGAAATGTTAAAAAAGTAACTTTCATTTATACTTAATCCAAAAATATTTATGCAATTAAAAATATATACAAACACTTAATTGCCCTTTCTATTTTTGTTTTAATTACAGCTTTAAACAAACGCAAATCAATTCGTAAAGCAAATACGAAACAAAACAAAACAGAATTAATGCAGAATTTCCATAGAGGCTAAGTAAAATATGTAAATCAGCCGAACACAGCATGGATAACAGTGTAGTACACAACTACAAACAAGTAAAATGCCGTTAAAAAAATCTACATTTAATTACGCAACAAATATGCCAGAAAAAGTAAACTAATATTTGAAGAGAATCTTGAAAAGGAAATATAAAATAAAAATTTCGCAGAAAAACTTGTGATGAGCAAATCCTGGGTAAAATTAGGGGAAAAATTGAAATTATGGAAATTAATGTGGTGCCTAAAAAAGTGGAAACAATATGAAAACTTAAAAGCACATTGAGGTAATGGAAGAATACGCAAAACGGCGTTTAAAACAACAAACAAGTGAAAACTGCACGAATTAAAATAAACAAATCTACCAAACCGAAATCCGCACTTCAACAATTAGCGGTGTAGGAGAAAATTATAATTTTCCAAAATGTAGTGGTGCGAGCGAAATGTAGTAGAAAAACGCAATAGCTGCAACAAAACCAACAACACTAATCATAATAATAATAAGTTGATAAAATAAGCAGCAGCAAATTAAACATAAACCGCTTATAAAAATCTATGACGATGTAGTGGTCAAGCGCTAAGGATAAGAACAAGCAGGCATAAGGCAATTTTTCGAAGAACTTGCCAACAACAAGAACAACTCAACAACACAAATAAATAACACAAAAAGTGGCAAACTGTGGCTGCGTTGCAAACTTTTCCCCATTGGATACGCGCGTCGTCAGCGGTAAAATAAAAATTTGTTAAAGAAAATCAATTTCTTAGGCAAAAAAGCAACAAAAAAGTGCTACCAACCACCCAACAAATACATACATATAGGTAAATAATAAAGAAACTCACACAAAAAAAAAAAAGAAAAAAACGAAAAATAAATTGAGAAACTAAAGTGTGCATACAAACTTGGCTAAGCTACTTGGCTAACGTGACAGCTAATGGTGATGGTCGAGCAAAAAGTATGAGCATGAACTAAGCACTCATTTTAGCGCGCGTTTCGATGGAAAGGAAAAAACAAAGAAAAAGCGAATTTATCGATTTCTATGTGAGTCAAGTAAGTACCTCAAAAATATTTTGTTCAACAAAAACAATAATTTATGTGGAAAAAGAGATGTATGCCACTCTAAAATAGATAACAATTTAAATTTAGGTCGGTGTATACTGTCTGCCATATTATTGAAACGTGGTCAGAGAAAATCTTCCAGTATGAAAATTCGCACTGCCCGATTTTTTCGGTTTTTTGAACTCATTCAACTCCATTATCTCCAAAGGATTAAAAGATCTAGTCTATTTACATTGAACAACGTAACTTGATGTCCTTTGATTTAAGCCGCTTCTCTGCATCTTAGTTCCAAATAATTAGCTCGAGAAGCTTATAAGTCGTGCCTCCAAGATTTTACTTTCATTTAGAAGAAAATTAAAACAAATATGGTGATTATTCATCCGCTTATAGCTATTCGGGTGATAAGTATACTTCCAAATACCGTTAGAAAGTCTTAGTATAAAGTATCTGATTCATTGCTATAGAACAAAAGTATTTTAGGCATATCATCCAAACATTCAACGTAAACGGTTCGACATTAGAAATATTGTTACAAATAGATCAATCCACTTTCTGTAAAAGATATTGACGATTCTTTCAAATAGATCAATCCTTGGTACACTTTCTGGAGTTAGTTTTCCTGCTAACCTAAGCAAATGGCCGCTTGTATACCGAATTTTAAGTAAATTAAGTTCGGTACCTGGTCCATTTCCCGGATTTTTTCTAATACAAACCCCTCCAAGGACCATAGAAATAATCGTCCTGTAAGTTTTCTAGATGCGGATCATTATATATATCTATAGATTGGCTGACCAGCCGGCTCCGAAAGGCTAATGAATTTCTATAGGGAACTTTTTATTTCATGACAGAAGTATATACTCACTGAGGTTGGCATTTCTGCAATTTAGAAGCTAGTAGACCCAGGAATCGAAACTATGAACGTCCGCTTGGTAGTGTGCAGTGCTAAATACTCAACAAATGCGGTCTTTTGATGTGTAAAGAAGCAGTTCTTTCATAAATTAAGTGCCGGTTGAGAATATTATTCGACAGGAAACGACCCTCGAATGCAGAATACAAGAAGAGAACAGGAAAAGCGTCGGTTACTTCATAATTATACAGCGATAGCTGATTCTATTAGCTTACCTACTTCCCTTAGCTTTGATCTAAAAGTTAGAGGAAGGTGTCACACCAGCCCTCATTAGCATCTGTAGTTAATTGGGAATCATTTCAACACTGAAGCTATGGCACTAAAAACCAATGGGCAATTCTGGCCACTACTAAATGAGCTACATGCAACACTGTCGCGCATCTAATTATGTAATGGATACGACGCGAATATGGTTTTGGAACGATGGATGGGCTATCGTCGGCTCAGAGAAACAGGACTACTTACTTAGAGTACCAGTTCTAATTGAGCGTTTTTGGATAAGTACCACTGTTGTTTAAATCCTTACTCGGATAAAATTTCGCCTCGTTCCGATGTAAATTCTCCTCCTACAGCCACTAACACAATGTAACTACCCTACTTCGGTTACATTATTAAACCCTAAAAATGCAGGAGGTCATTTTAATGCACCCAAGAAGTTCTTGTCGAACCTTTGAGATTGTCTGGAAAAGGTTATGGTGTCACCTGGGTACATTCTCCTGTGCTTACCGTGTTTTTACATTCTAAATAAAACGATTCCTCCTACTAATTAGTTTCACCAACCTGAGCAAGTTCATACTGATTGTTATAAGAAACGTTCCATTTCAGAGCGTGCTTCATCGTTCTCTTCGTAACTGCGAGAGACAGGTAGCCAGTGTATAAGGTAAGAATTTGGCTGACATTTGAGGCACCACGAGGAGAAAGCACAATAACAGTGAGTTTTGCTTAAAAGATACTAAAGTGGTCAGGCTGTCTCGTGTTCATCTAGTCCACTATCTGAGCCGTTATTAAAAATAGCTATGGCTTTGTTATCAGATGAAAGATATGTTTTCAGACCCGTTCTGTTTGGAAACTATTGCGGAAAATTGGTGCTGAGTAAGTACGAGATTATTTCCATGTCGCGGTTTATCGAACTTGTGGTTAATCTCAGAGCTTCCGTTGATTCCGCGCTAAAACGTTAAATCTTAGATTACACCGACATAGTAGATCTTAAAAGGAAAAGTGATCTTGATACATTTTAGAAAGTTGCGGTGAGAAATGACTCCAACTAAGTATTATAATTTCGGCTGGGAAAAGGTCAGAGTCTACGAAGAAAACCGTTTGGAATTTGAAGATACATTCCGGTCCACATAGCGAGTGGTTTCATCAGCTATTAATATTTTTAACGCCTTGACATTTATTTATGTGCATTAGGTCTATCTCATCCCCAGCAGCAAGAAGATGTTTGTAAATTTCTAGCAAAAGTTGGAGTATGAAGGGTATAAAAGTCTCCTATGACAATATGATAATATTTTTGTATACACGTATGTAACTCGGTATTCTTATGCGAAATCTTGTCAGTTTGTCGAGGAAAAGTGAAAGGGGTGATGAAGTAAAAGTTTGATTTGCTCATTATTATTAAGTTTGCCATACAAAAACAATTGTAAAAACTACCTACATACATACATACGAGTACACAATGAGAGTAATATAAAGTTTTCGCCAACTAAAGTGTAGCTACAACATGGCCTTAAAGATCAGAAGAACATAAAAACTCTGGCAGTTTATGAAGTAGAGTATAAGTAGTTTGAAACTAGTAGCACTATAAGTCGTCAGTTGTTCGCGTAAAAGACATTATGCACACTTCCTGAGAGGGCAATAAAACTTTTATTGGAACAAATCGGAGATTTACGCACGTGGCAGAAAAGTATTTTAAGGGCTTTACTTGAGTAAGGCGAGAGTTTAGAATGAATATGGATTTTTATCTCTACATTGCGGGTGAATATTGCGAGATAGTACTTTTTTCTTCAGTAAGATCTAGCTTAAATAAATGAAATGTAGTTTCGCCTGTTCAACTGGTCTCATAACTGAGGTTGGCTAACTTACCCGCTTGGAATTTAAAATCCATTAATACTTAGAAAATGTAACAATTTTTATTATTTACCTAATGTAGCAATATTATGCTCAAGTAAATGTGAAAATAATTTTTCATTGGACTTGGTTTTTCTTGTGGTGGGTCTCAAGCCCTACGCAAAACCGCATGGGATTTGCCTTTTCACTTTAGCTCGCCTCCAAACTGATTTTTGTTCGCTACCCAGGGGATACTTGGTCTAAGACCGATAGCCGTGAGTTGCAAAAACCATATGCAAAAGAATCGTTTGTGGTCATTCCCCGGTGAATGGCAGTCAAAATCTTCCCTCACTGGCGTGAACTTCTGCACATGGCTCCATTTCCCAGTCAGGGATATTGAAACACCCGGAGAAGGTGAACCCGAAACTCCAATTGATGATGATGGAAAATTTGTTCCATTCCCCGACTATGAAGAAGTCCGAATAGCAATCGACCGCTTAAAAAAAAACACAAAGCGGCAGGGAGCGATGGATTACCGGACGAGCTATCTAATTACGGCGGTAAAGAACTGATCAGGTGCATGCATCAGCTTCTTTGCAGAATAGAGTCGGATGAAAGCATGCCTGACGATCGGAACCTAAGTGCGCTCAGCCCACTCCAAAAAAAAAGGCGATCCTACAATCTGCGCCAACTATCGTGGAATAAGCCTTCTTAACATCGCATAGAAGGTTCTATCAAGCGTATTGTGTGAAAGACTAAGACCCACTTCAGACCTGGTAAGTCAACCATTGACCAGATATTCACCATGTGCCAAATCTTGGAAAAGATCCGCGGAAAGAGGATCGACACACACCACCTCTTCGTCGGTTTTGAAGCAGCCTTCGGCAGTTCGAAAAGGAGAGACCTTTACGCCGCTATGTCTGAACTTATACGGCTATATAAACTAACTTTAAGCAACACTTAAAGCTCCGTCAGGATAGGGAAGGATCTCTCCGAGCCATTCGATACCTAATACAGTTTCAGACAAGGACTTCTTTTCATGTGATTTCTTTAAGTTGATGCTGGAGAGAATAATAAGAGCTGAAAAGCTGATTAGAGAAGGTACAATCCTCTACAAGAGTTTACAGCTGCTGCCGTATGCCGATGATATTGACATTATTGACCTCAATAACCGCGCCGTGAGTTCTGTTTTCTCCAGACTGTATAAAAAAGCGAAGCGAATGGGTCTGGTAGTAAACGAGAACAACACGAAATATCTCCTGTCATCAAACAAACAGTCATCGAATTCGCGACTTGGCTCCCACGTCACTGTTGACCGTGAGTTCTGCTTTCTCCAGAGTGTATAAAGAAGCGAAGAGAATGGGTCTGGTAGTGAACGAGAACAACACGAAATATCTCCTGTCATCAAACAAACAGTCATCGAATTCGCGACTTGGCTCCCACGTCACTGTTGACAGTCATAACTTTGAAGCCGTAATTAATTGCGTCTATCTATTGTAGGAACCAGCGTTGACAACAACAATAATGTCAGCCTTGAAATCCAATGCAGAATCACTCTTGCCAACAGGTGTTACTTCGGACTGAGTAGGCAATTGAAAAGTAAAGTCCTCTCCCGAAGAACGAAAACCAAACTCTACAAGTCCCTCACATTTGCTGTCCTGCTATATGGAGCGGAAGTATGGAGGATGAAAGTATCCGATAAGACGGCGTTAGGAGTTTTCGAGACAAAGGTTTTGCGTAAAATTTTTGACGCTTTGCGCTTTGGCAACAACGCATACCGCAGACGATGGAACGATGATCTGTACAAGTTATACGGCGACATTGATATAGTTCAGCGAATCAAGGAGCAGCGGCTTCGCTAGCTAGGTCATGTGGTCCGGATGGATGGGAAGTCCAGTTTTGAGAGTCTTCGATGCAGTACCCGCCGGTGGAAGTAGAGGAAGAAGAAGACCTCCACTCGGTTGGAAAGGCCAGGTAGAGAAGGACCTAGCTGTACTTCGTATTTCCAATTGGCGTCAAACAGAAGAAAGAGGAAAAG